CAAGACAACGAGGAAAAACCGATCAAACTGGCGGCCTCAAAAGTTGCTGCAGCCTCCTCTTGCAAAATGGTCACTCGTGGCCATACGCGGGTAACTGACCTTAGAGAGATAATTGTAATCGAAATTAATAATTTTTCAAATATTTTTTTTTAATCTTTAACCGATATTTAAAATTCAATTCCATTAATAATTCTATTAATCAAATTTTGAAAATATGAAAGGTCAATTAAGCGCGTGACGCTCAATCAGTTTCATAATCATGTAATAAAACGTATAAAATTTCAAAGAATCAGTTCAGATTAATATTTGATTTGCAAAAAATCGATCGAAACACATTAAATTGGCCACTGATAAGATTTAGTTGTCGCTGCAGCTGTAACGCCGCGCGAAGATCATTATTTCGTGTTGATATTCTAGATTTTACTAATTAGAAATTATTTATATTTATTACAGACAGGGGATGGCGTGGGAGTGTCGAGTAGCGGTGGTCGACTCTCTTCTCGAAGTCGAACCTCGGAGGAACCCCACATCGGCAAGTACAAATTACTTAAAACAATTGGCAAAGGTAACTTTGCCAAGGTAAAACTTGCCAAACATGTACCTACCGGAAAAGAAGTGGCTATCAAAATTATTGACAAGACTCAACTAAATCCCGGTAGCCTTCAAAAAGTAAGAAATAAATTGGATTATTCATCGAATAAAATGAATATTTTTGATCGTGATACGAATAATGTTACGTTTTATTTCAGTTGTTCCGAGAAGTAAGAATAATGAAGATGCTCGATCATCCGAACATAGTGAAGCTTTTCCAAGTGATCGAGACTGAGAAAACATTGTACCTGGTAATGGAATACGCCAGTGGTGGCGAAGTTTTTGACTACTTGGTCCTACATGGTCGAATGAAAGAAAAGGAGGCTAGAGCAAAGTTCCGGCAAATTGTCTCTGCTGTGCAATACTGCCATCAAAAAAAGATCATCCATAGGGATTTAAAGGCTGAAAATTTACTACTCGATAGCGAGATGAACATCAAAATCGCTGATTTTGGTTTCAGCAATGAATTCACACCAGGCAACAAGTTGGATACTTTCTGCGGATCACCTCCTTATGCAGCACCTGAGCTTTTTCAAGGTAAATATGCATAAATTAATTGTCTCTTCTTCCTTTTATTGATTCCTAGAATCAATATTATATTTCGAGATTTGAAAAAGAAATACAATAACATCAATGATGCTTTTAGGTAAAAAGTATGACGGACCCGAAGTAGATGTCTGGTCGTTGGGAGTAATATTATACACTTTAGTGTCTGGATCACTGCCCTTCGACGGTTCGACACTGAGAGAATTGAGGGAACGAGTATTACGGGGAAAATATCGAATTCCATTTTACATGTCCACGGATTGTGAAAATCTTTTGAAAAAGTTTTTGGTGCTTAACCCGACAAAACGGGCATCTTTAGAGGTATATGTTCAAACGTATAACATCTTTGAAAATGTACTATATTACATTCGTTCTATTCTGTTTTTTTTTTATGCTTCTAGACTATTATGAAGGATAAATGGATGAACATGGGATATGATGACGACGAATTGAAACCGTACTTAGAACCTGAACCTGATTATAAAGACCACAAGAGGATAGGTGAGTCTGCCAGTATGTACATAACACTTACTACTTTTATTGTTTCTATATAAAATATAAAAATGCACGGCTTATGATCCTATTATCATTTTATATTGCAAGTTATATTGCTTCGCATTATACGTAAAAATTATATATGTTCAAACGTGTGGTGTATATTTTCATGAATGACATATAATTTTTACTTAAGGCATATCGATTTGGTTGTAATTAAATGATTTTTCCTATATACTTATCCCATCTTACTGTCTACGATTTAACAATCGTTTCAATCTTTGAATTGAATAATGCACAATTGTAGTAGCAACAATAATAATAATGAAAATAATAATGGTAGTAATTATAGAGCATTAGTAGTGAAAAAAGTATGTAATTGCACTTTTTGTATAGCAAAAGCATTGGGCTTCTTTTAGAAATGTTTCTTTTGCATTAATAAATATGAATATAAATAGGTCTTCTGGATTCTTCTTTCCTGTCATTTTAGTATTTTTAGTGGTTGTGACTATGCCGTTACACCTGTTTGTTTTAGAGGCCCTGGCTAGTATGGGGTATACAAGAAGTGAAATAGAAGATTCCTTAGGACAAGCAAAGTACGATGACGTGTTCGCCACGTACTTACTCTTAGGAAGAAAGACAACTGATGTGAGTAGCAGAAAGATTTTGATGATTTACATGAAGAATTGTTGTGTATAATAAAATTCATATATGATTAACCTGATCGATGAATGGATATAAATTAACAGTTCATTCATTTCGTAGCCTGAATCAGATGGCTCGCGGTCAGGCAGTTCGTTGTCACTACGCAACATTCCACCGCAAGCTGGTTCAGGTGGTGGTGGAAGTGGAGGTGGAGGAGGAAGTGGAGGAGGCACTGGTGGTGCTGTGCAGAGTCCATCGCATAGAGGTGTTCACAGAAGTATCTCTGCTAGCAATCCAAAACCGAGTAGACGAGTTTCATCCGGTCTCGAAACGCTTCGTAAGTTAAAATTGTATTATCCATCTATCAAAGATTTTGAACCATAATTGAATTCAAGTTGTATACTTGTAAATTTATTATTACAGTTATTAGCAATCTATCTGGATTAAATGTATAATATTAAATGTATATGTTAATGTGAACCCTAATCAAATTAACGCGAAACTTACTAAATAAAATTATAATAATAATAAGATTATATATCTAGATAAAAAGAATAAATTTATCAACGTTTTATTTTATTATTATTATTGCAATGAATTTGCATGACATCCGAATTAAATCGGTCTATGTTTCAGCGAGAAATTCCCCCGATTTTCAATGTTTTCTATGCTAAAGGATTAGCAATTACAAGGATTTTCATAAGAAAATGATTAACATCGATCAAGCTCATATCATTATGCACAAATTTTATTCTATTCGTAAACAATATTTATTTTGTTAGGAGCAGCGCCGAGCCCAGGAAATGCAACGAACCATAATCACGCAACTCCTACGACTGGTGGAACTGTAACTGGAAACACTGGTAGTAATTTTAAGAGACAAAATACTGTGGATGCGGCCACGATCAAAGAGAATACTGCTCGCGTTTCTGCGAGCCGACCTTCGGCTCCTAAAAACAGTCCTGGCCAATTAGATACTAGTGAGTTTTTTTCGTCATCTTGTGTTATTTTTTTTTTTTTTTTTTTCGTAATTCAACTTATATTTGTCTAATTGTTTTTTTGCGACGTTGTACTTGTGCAAAGCTTTAGCTAAAGTATATCTGCTTTAAATAAGATTGTCATAATTTGTAATTCTAATCTATCAAAGTTTTAGTTGAGATTCATACTTTATATGATTTTTATTTCTTTTTCCCATTCTTTTTACTTTTTTTTTTTTTTTTTTTTTTTTTAATGTCAATTTGTTCAAATGTCAATATTACATTACATAAATATGATCCTAATTTGTAAAAACATAATAAGAACGCATGAATATTAATAAATTTAACTCTAGATTAATGTAATCTAATGAAATCATATATCAATAATGATTATATTTTTTCTAACGAACAAACCGACGAAAAATGGAAAGATGCACAATATATCGCAAGTATCTACATAGACAACGATAATAGTTTATTCATTTACACTCATGATACCATTATGCACTAATAATAATCTAGAGTTAAAAAAAATTATGATTGTAGATGTATATAATTTCAACGTCGCATTTGTGTCTCTTTAATCCTTGCAAAGAAAATCCCAATTTCTTTTATGGATGGAACAGATGAGACGTTATGTAATCTTTACGCGTTTTATTATTTTATATACGACACAGACACATACACATTATTTCTTTTATTTGTACTCGTTGCTATGCTTGTTATAGTATAAGTAAAGTACGCTGCTTTGTTTTGTGTTGAACTATATCTAATGAGGCTTGCAGTGACAATGTTCATTCTAGGCGTGGGTACAAGTCCCGGTGGTAGAGCATGGGCAGGAAAGAGCAACACAATGAATGCAGGGGTAGGTAGTGGTCGGCCTCTTACTTCACCTGCCCCTGGTTCTGTTGGTCGACGTAGTACCATCTCTTATGATCAAGCGAAAACGTCCTCTTCATCTACCGAAAGAACCAACGATACACCCAGGTATAGTGCTATCTAGTTATTTCATTATTTGTATATCAATTTAAATACTTCTTTTCTTTTTTTCCTATGATAAATTAAGGAATAAAAGAAAATTTCTTTTAACGTAGCATAGAAACTGGATCTGTGTGATCATATGATAACAGTTTTTCTATTTTCATGATGTATAAGAATAATATGACATTTGTTTGTGAATGTTTTCGAAAAAAAATTCGAAATAATCTCGATGAATTATACAATCCAGTATCTGCACTAATCGAATGAATGAATTTCTTTAATGTGCGCATGAATATGCGCGACTCAGAATCACTTATACTGTTCTGGCGTTTCGTTATTAACTAAATAATACTTTTCGTTGTACCGTTTACTAACCATAGGTGATTGATTTTTATTTTAATGAATCGTATGGAAAAAAATCATGTGATAATCAATGATAATCATTTGATATAACAAAAAAATCTGTCATGATAAGCCCCAGGGAGTTTCTTTGTTTGTTGCGTTGCTCTAGCATGTTGGCTGCTGCCTGCCAATCGTTCATTGCAGATCACTTTCTTTATGGCTTGACAGATCTACTGAAACAGATATGATCTAAATAAACGTGTATACATATACAAATGCTTGCTAAATTGATACTGAATCACAGTTACATTCACATGTTTCTTTACTCTGTTATATATTACCAACGTATGACTGAATTTACAAGCGTGTGTGTGTATAAAACAGTCATTAACATCATCATACATATGTCCACTATTTATTTATGTTTAGCATCACAATTCTATGTCCCTCATCGTAGAACTTGTCGCGTGCTAAAAATATTAGCCATGCGTGAGTTAGAATTTTCATTTATCATCCGTTTACCTTAATCTATCCTATCGTACTCATAATACAACTATTACATTACATAGTACAACATTCCATTAGTTTTCAATAAATTTCATTGCGTCTTGCTAATTATATCTACTATATAATACGATTAGATGGCTAAATTCGCGAATCAACGACAATATTCGGTATCAGTTGATTCGTTGGTTTTCGTCTATGTCTTCAGCTCTCCTATCCTTTCTGCCACGTTCGATCCTTCAAAAACATCGGAATAGTAAACAAGCGTCACGAAGAAATTACATACGAAGACGTTTAAAATTTCAATTTTGACTAAAAAATTAAATTTTTTAAATAGTAAAAAAAAAAAGAAAAAATGAATTGAAAAATAAAAAGTACTAGAAGAAAAAAAATAAAGATCTAGGATCTATGAGAATAAGTATAGGAACTATTTAAGAGTAGGGCCGGGCAGTTTGCTGATTAGTTTTGTACACAGCCTTGGCGAGGGCACTAGACCAACACGGGGTCACACCAAGTCTGCGAGCATCAGCGCAGGTCACCGTTCCTCAAGTGGCGTAGCTCCCAGCGACCATTCACTACTGGACCCTCAACCACGCAACGCCCACAACTCCTTACTCGCCACTGCTGACCCTCTTAGACAGAGGTACAGATCCTCAACGCCTTATCAGCCAACCTCTATTATACAGTCCTCTATTAGATATGCGACAAAAGTCTAACGTGCGTTCTACCGATTATCAAATCTTGGATAGGATAGAAAAATATAAATATTTGAAATGATTATATTCCGTAAAAAGAATTGAGAATGCTTTTAAAAATTGATTTTTAAATTTATTCAACTCGTGTGGAAAATTCATTCGAGGTGGTTATAACGATTTCAATGCTCGGTGGAATTCTACGCTAGGCTATTGGTGCACTTTGTATTGCAAGAGATTTTCAAAATATACATCTTTTTCATTCATTTATTTGTTTTCTTCTCTCTTTTTTTTGGGCCACTAACTTTCTTAGGATGACTAGAAATTTATTTCACGTTCACGTTTCGAAATGAAACACAATAATAAACGTAAAATGATATTTGTGTAAACGTTACAACACAATGTTTCATTCATGACGCAAATAATCTTCGTAGGTTCTCTAGGATAGTTTTTGGTCATTTGTTCGTAATCGTTTTCTCTAATTTTTATTTCCAATTTGCATGAATATCATATGTATATTTCTATTCCGATCATTGGTTTTGGTCACCTTCATCTCATTTATTTCCCAATTCCTTTATTTCTAGCACATATTTTTCCGCTATAATTATCACTATGTTCACACACGAACAACAAGGCAAACACCATTCTGCATTCTTTCTTGTTTTTCGTACAATTAACGGGAAACCGTGATACGTACGTTACATATGAAGCAGTTTAACATCTCATTTTACTTTATCGGTATACCAATTTGCGTATATTTATTTCGTGTACGTATTTATTAAGATCAATAGCAAAAAAAAAGTTAACGAAAGGAATAATTTGGTTGAGTATTTAGATACAATCATCATGATATCGGTAAATTATCGATTACAGATATAATTTTAAATGAAATTTTTAATATATTGTACACGTATATTGATGAAGTTATATGTTATATGATAAATTTAATCCTGAGAGAGAACAAATAATAATCCTTCATCTTGATCCTATCGAAACATACGCAAATAAATGTAAACTGTTTCAGTTTCGATACATTCTATGTTCATTCTATATATCATTTAACTCTCATTAGCCAAATTAAACTAATTTGTTTAAAATTCTGCTTCCTTAGCTCATTCTATCGAAGCTTGTTTTGCAAGATATAGAAAGATCGCTTATGCATTATTATCTATTCTTATAATTACTCCTTGAATTTCACAGAAGAATTCATGTGAAAAATAAACGTTTTATTTTACATCTCTTAATTTTATTTCGTAACCTGTCTTTTGCTTCTTTTATAACGAAGGATGATGTACAAAACGAAAACGAAAAATTTTTTGTATCGTGCACAAATTCTTAACAAAAACGTATGGACGAAGCAAATATTATTTATATGTATCCATATGTTCATAAATATATATAAGCATAAATGCACCAATAAGTATATATATTATAGTTTTAATGTAAACACTGAAAAAATTTTATTTTCAACCAGCTTGGGTGTGTCTCCAAGTAATAGACTGGCAACACCTACAACACCAGCATTTCCTCGAAATGTTCCAAGCCGTAGTACGTTTCATTCTGGTCAGAATAGAGCTCAGCGAAATCATACTCAGGTTTGTAAATATTGTCATAATTTTAATATTATTTACAATCTCATTATAAAATTATCTAAAAAAAAAAGGAATTTGATAATGTATATGATCGGTGTCCTCGTAATTTCTTATAATCTATCTTCATTTATTTAACATGTGATTTTTCATTATTGTATAATTATTATATTCCATAAATTTTTTAGGGTCACACGCATACACAGGACACAAATGCAATTAGTCCACTAGCGAGACCGTCCTTCTTCTCCAAATTGTCCTCAAGATTCTCCAAACGGTAAGTTTTCTCGATTCGTTACATCCGTTATATACCGTTGTATATCGAAGAAACGGTATTTCTCACATTCGACAGCATGCTAGTACATGTATACCACTGTAAAGTACCACCGTTCGTCCAGTTACAATATGTCTTATAATCAAATTTCGATCAAGCATTTAATCTTAATATTTTCGAAGGACGACAATCGATCAATCTTTTATGATGATTAAAATTTTTTTCGAAAATACTCATTTATATCGAATGTATCGAAAGAGCAACTATGCTTTAATTTGAAAACTTCCTTTCTCTCAAAGAATAAAAGAAGGAAAAGAAAAAGAAATGAAAGCGGAAGAAGAAAAAGAAAAAGAAAGAGATAAAAAGATTAAGTGGTACGATAAGTTCGATTCTGATTCACAAAACAGACGTATATTTAAATCATTTCGTTGATGCAGTTGATTATCTGACATAGATATATATTTACATATATAAGATAAAAAAAAATCTATCGCAAAGACGTGACAGTTTTTGCAATAGATCTTCGATGCATGTGTAGAAAATAATTTTTATAAAACGATATTTATTGTACTTATATTTATATTCGCAAACGAGTCGAACCTATCGTTTTGCATGTGATATGACATTTTTGTCTTAAGGATGCACAATGACTATGTAATTCTAAAAATTTTATATCGATACGTTAAACATTTCTGTATCCTATTTAACGTAATATTTCTCTCTATACAACTATACGTAATATACTGCAAAAACGATATATAGCAGTCCGATGAGCGAGCAGCGACCATTATCAGTGAAAGCCACGAAAACCGTAGCTTGTTCACAATACTTCTCAATACGTAGTTGCATTTATTTCTACGCCGTTTTTGCCGTTTCTTTGTCCCATAAATTGCTTCTCAGGTTTCTATAGTAGCACCTTTTAGTTGGACTCTCCGTTGACCGAACGTTACATTATATACATATGTATTTTTTTTTTTCTTCTTTCTCCGTCTATCGATATCTATCCATCTATCTATCTATCTATCTATCTATCTATCTATCTATTTATCTATCTATATCTATGTCCTTCTCCAGTTTTGCTCTGTTTCTCATCTCTTTTTATTCATCTCTTTTATTTCGATTCCTGTTTTGTTTTCCTGTAAGAATGCAATTAATTATTGAAGGAAAATCTAAAAAATAACAAATATACCGAATATAATCGTCCGTTCTGTGCCCTTCACGACGAATGCACCGTTATCGTTACCTATTTAATGTTTGAGTGTTCTCATTTATGGAATAACCCTAAAAATTCATCGGTGAAAATAATACCGCTTGGCCAGCTCAAGTTCAGGCCACCTCGCATACTCATTGTGCATCCCTTCTTGACTCGACTGTATATAGCGAGGCATATCCTTGACTTAGTACTTTACCTATACTTTGTACATATATGGGACTTTGAGTTTATCACATAGAAAAGATAATCATTAATCGAAAGAAAAAAAAAAAGTGACATAAGTGTTATAATGAACGCGTAGAATAGAATAGGGTAGAGGAATAAAATATACGCGATAAAACGGTTGAAAGCAAGGATGCAAGGCCACAGAATAACGAGAGCAATCCAGCTTATTCGTCTCACCGTCAGCATCTTTTCTACTTTCACGATATGGTCACTGTACGCATCGTCAATACGTACTATAGACACAACTGTTTGATCAATCCGAAAATTGCCCGATTTGCCGACTCAGCATAGCCATTGATGCATCGTCCTTCTCACTTGGATTAATCTATACCGGTGTATTCTATGCTACAGGACATGAACCGATTAAAACTTGGCATCGCTCGAACTTCAAATGATGGCCATAAAGATGCGCAAAATTTAATGACCAATAAATCCAAGAGAAATTTGCGCAAAAGCAGCAAATCCAGCGAGTCTAGCGTGTTGCTTAGAAGAATGGTAATATCATCCGTGCCAACGATGATCTATGGATTATTGGAAATACGTTGAATAAACGAACGATAATGAAACTGGATTGAAAGAAAAAGAAAAAAAAAAGGAAAGAGAAGAAAAGAGAAGAGGAGGAAAGGGAAAGAATAACTCCGTTATTCTGTGGTGCATCGTCAAGCTTTCGAGAACGAAACAGAAACTTGTTGCTCATATCTAAAGGAAAGGTTTCTTACCATTTTACTATCAGGATCACACGAAGTGCGGTATTCTCGTGTTTGTCCTTGCGTAATCCTAATTATGATCCTTCGGAACGATTTTTCGAAGTGTCTTCCTGACGCGCGACGATCCAACAAATTATTACAATCGCCGCCATTATTATTATCATAACATCGTAAACAACATTCTCATTGCCAGTCG